CACTCTGTGGTCCTAAACGAAGTTGTGGTCCAAAGTCTAAGCTGCACTGTTCTGTGGTCCAAGGAAAAACCGATGATTAAGTGGGTCTGAGAACTGGAGATCAAAGCAGGACACAATTTAGAAATCAGAACAAGGGTGAAGACGGGAACTTGATGAGATTGAGAGTGGAATTGATGTGACATCAATGTACTAAGAGTTGGGGGCTTAAGATTTAAGACACAGATGATTGCGTCTCGCTCGTACTTCCATCGTAGGCTAAGTGGAACAATCATGAGTTAGTTTATACTTCTAGTAGTACTAGCATCTATTTACCTAAAAGATAACCTATAAATACAACTACTAGCATAACACGTTTTTATCATCGATTATTACGTGATTTAATAATAAAATTATTTGTATCTTAAATTATAAATCAAAATTTTGTGTTATAATCCATTTTGTGTTGAATTGTAACTTCAAGATCCTTAATAGAGGGAAGGAATGGTTCAATATCAAAGGTTTTTTTTTTTTGAATGATAATGATGATTACAATCCACTACATAATAGACTGTAATACAATTTTTTGATTATAAATTTAGAAATTAATTCTTAATTTTTATGAAAAAAAGAAAAGAAAAAAGGCGTAGCATGCCGTCTCCCCTATGAAGGTAAAAGGGTTGTATCTAGTATCTACTCCTCCACCAAATTAATGCAGTCCTGCCCTCTATCGTAGTAAGACAATTTTGAACATGTTGCCCCAAAATCTAATCACATGACCTTAAGCCTCAAGCCTTAAAAAATATTGGACTCAAATTGACAAGATTCGAGTAAGTCCCATGGCCATCCTTCTTTTCATTTTGTTTTTTCTTTTATACCATCATGGCTTTCCATTTTCATTTTTATTTTATATTATACTTCATACCATGGAACATATAATATAGTTTTTAAGTGCAAGATTTTCAGTAAATCTGGATTGGAGACTATATTTCATTAATTAGGATTTGTGGAAAGACTAAAAAAAATCAGTTTCTCCATAATCCAAACGCTCCGGAACAAGGAGGAGGCAATAAATGCGCATGTGTGGGCAAGTATCGTCAGCCCGACAACCCCTCGCACTTGTCGCCATTATTACAACCCTCCCGACGTCGTTCCACCATGCCTTGTCTTAGGCCATTGCTGCTTAGTCAATGTCCAATTAACAATGTACCCGCCTCGACTCTCCAAACTTTCCATTTTTGACTTTACTTCCCGCTCCGCCCGCAATTTCCCCAAGATCAGCCTGCAGCTTGCCTCTTAACCATCTTCATTAACCCATCAATTAACCAAAAAACAAAAAATATTTGATGGACTAAACTCTGGTTATGTTTGATTAGTAGTAGTGATAATTATTTTTATTAAATTATAAAAATAAATAAATGAATTTTAAAAAAAATTATGAATAGTCAAACCATTTAACAATTTTATACTAAACTATATATAAGATAGATTAATGGGAAACATGTATTCATTTTTTTAAGGAATAGGTGTTCCTAAATTTTTTTTTCTAACGTAGGTAAAAGGAAAATTAAATAATTAATACTACTTTTATATGAAAATTTTTTAATTTGAACTTAGTTTGACTAATAAATGTACCAACCAAGAACAATCCCTTCAAGTAATGTCGCTAACTAATAGAATTAATAGACCAATGAGAGTCCAACAAGATCATGTAAATTCTATGCTAAAGATAAAATCTTTAATTATCAACATAAGGCTCACCAACCAAAATATATACCACCCTTAAATAGTATAGATACGTATAACTATATAAACAATTATAAGTAACAACCAAAAAAAAAGAATAATTAGATTATATGTATTTAAATTTGTTTTGACAAATAATGAGTGTGGTTATGGTCAACATCATAATAATATTAAAGTTACATAATTTATTTAATTTAATTGTTTAATAAAATAATTAATATTTATTATTTAATAAATTAATAAAATTAATTTTTAAATATTATAATTAATTATATAAAAATTATAAATTAAAAAACATTACTAAATGATATTTATATAATTTTAATAAAATAATATGTTTGCATAGTCACACACTCAATTCAGACCGGTGAAGCGCGCGTTCTAAAGACATCTTCTGGTTTGAAAAAGACAATTCCATGGCCATGGTTTTCCAAACTTCAATGATTAACAACCCAAAGATATAAAGACTTCCATATCTAGTACGTACAGATCTTTTTTTTTTTTTTTCTTCCTTTTTTTGTATGTGTAAGTTTAGGTGGTCAGAAGCTGTCTTCTTCCCCACATCCACATGATACGAGCAATCAATGATTTCAGTGCCCTCAATTTAAAAAATGAATTACCTAAGGTTATTACCGATCGAGATATTGACAAAAATTTTTAATTTGAATAAATTATTTTTAAATTTAAAATATGATATTATTTAACGTTAATAATTTATTAATTTAATATTATTTAATGTCAATAATTCATTATTATTGATATAATAAATTAACGAATTATTAACGTTAGATAACATCACATATTAAATTTGAGATGATTTATTCAAATCAAAAATTTTACAAGTGAATTTATCCATATTTTTTATTTAGAGTAAATTTATCCCTACCATTATATTTTGGAGTGAATTTAGATATTTTACCGTAAGATGTTTATGCAATTAGGTTTCGTATTTAAGTTTTAGTATTTAAATATAATTGATTAAAATTTTGATTTTTATTAATTATTTTAAAAAACTCCCCATTCCCACGTAATTTCCCATGTTAAGAAAAAAAAATCAGATGTTTATGTAACCATTAATAGTTTAGTAACTAATTAATGTAACAGTTTAACAGACACGCATGCAGTTGTTGCAGTAGTACTCAAAAGAACAAAAACTGAAAGGAGACATAATCCTATGCTAAACAATGCAGAATAATCGAGATTATGTACACTGTTAATCCAACCGTTAATCAAGTGTTTTAAAGACTTGATCAAGATTCGAGAGCTTTGTAAATGACTACGAAGCAAGGGAGGATGGCCTTTGGATTAAAGACGATCAACTCCTCCAGATTCGAGTAGACCCCAGCGTATGCGGCTACCGAATCGTACGTTCCGGCTGACACAACGTTTTCCTGTTCCGCCGGTGCATCGTCTGCTACTCGCTTCACTCTTCCCGCTATCACACGGCAAACTATCATGGCCCTACACCCATCCGTACACTTGAGAGAGTCATGAGCTCTGCCACTGCTGGCAGTGGTGCGAACTCCCTTGGAATCGGCACCGCCCGTTGCTCCTCCGGCCTTGCCTTGAAACCCGTGGCGGATGATGGTGCAGACGCCGCATCCGGGGACGGAGCCGCACAAGCTGGACGAGCCACGGGAGCCAAGTGAGCAGGATAGGGTGGTGCAGTGGAACCGGAGGAGCTCGTTGCCGTCGGCGGCGCAACGGGGGTTCTTCTTGGAGCTGTTGAGCGCACGTGTCTTGACTGCGTCACGGCAGTCCTCGAACCGTTGGATCGTGCGCTGGGTGTTGTGGACTTTTAATATCCGTTCGATCTTACAGACGGGATTATCTTTCTTTAACCAGCTTGATTTGAAGATTATCTCCACAATATTCCGACCCGAATCCTCCGGACCCAGCTCCGAAACTGCACAAATTCCACAAAAAAAATAAAAAAATAAAAAA